TTTCTAACTCCATTTTATAGAAGGGGAACTAGACTTGCGGAATGTTTAATTAAATAACATGTCCAAAGTCATATAGCTAATAGGTGATGGAGACCAGCTTATAACTGAGGCAGTTTGGGTTCAGAATCCATTTTCTTAAACCAATAGGCCATACTGTTTTTTCTTCTTAAATTTTTTAACATTTTTAAGTGCTTTTTTGGTATATTAGGTTTGAGGTAGGAATTCAACTTTGTTTTTGGAGTGCTTGGCTAGAGGAGGAGCCAGCAAAGGGGAGGGTAAAGGATTGATCATCAATGTAGTAATAAAGCAAGGAACGTGGTGTACCATGAAGTATACTACTGAGATTTAAGTTGAGGAAAAATAATTTGTCAAGATGGAGTGATCTTCCTTTATGGTATATGTTTCAGTGGAATATGCTGAAGTAGAAGTCAGATGGATACTGTGTGGGAGATAGGAGAAAATGGAAACAGTGAGAACAAGTCTTGAAAAGTGGTTGTGAATATGAGGTTGAGAGAAGGCTGTCAAACAGGGGGAAATTATTGTTATTCTTTAGAAAAAAATGAAAGAGACTTACAGGTGTTACACAATGCTGATAGGAAGGATTCAAAATAGAAAAGAGATTAAAGAAGATAGAGGAAGACTATTCAATGGCAGAAGTTCCTGAAAATCAAAGAGAGTGGGCTCTAAAGCATAGATACAGAGATTTGCTTTCTATAGAAGATGCTCTATTATTTCTGGGGTATAAGAAAAGACAGATGTAGATACAAGTGACTTTGTGAGCTTATTGGTGGGAAGTGAGAGAGTTCCCATTTGATTGTATCTGTTTTTCCTGTAAAGTAGATGTCCTCTACCGAGTGGAGAGTTAGACGTTTGAAGGGAGTTGGAGGGGTGAGGAGAGGAAAGAAGGTTCAAATTAGCCATCATGGAGAATATGGGAGGGATTGATGAGAGTAAACTAAGATAAATTGTTGGGCATTAAGACTCATTCACTGGAAGTGGGTGGTAACAGCATGAGTTCAGTTTTCTTTATTAGTGACTTTAAGGCCAGTTCTGCCATCACATTTAGTACAGTTAATGGTTTATGATCACTACCACCTAGGATTAAAAACAGGCATATTACTTTTAAAGCTTGTCAAGCTAATGTTTTTAGTGTGTTGAGTAAATTGGAGAAGGATGAAGAAATCACTTTCCACTTCATTTTGATATCCTTAATTTATGCAGAACATTTCTTGAGAATAGATTATAGATGTGTATGCTAAATCATTTTAAGTTTATATTAAACTATGTGATCTTGAATACCTAATTGCCTGAATTTAACAGTTGTCCCTCAGTATCCACAGGGAATTTGTCCCAGTACCACCCCATACCAAAATCTGAGGATGCTCAAGTCCTTATATAAAATGACATAGTATTTGCATATAACCTATGCACTTCCTCCTCTATACTTGAAATCATCTCTAGATTACTTATAATACCTAATACAATGTAAATGCTATGTTAATAGTTATACTCTATTTTTAAAAATTTGTAATATATTTTTAATTGTATTATTTTTTACTGTATTTTTTTCCTGCATATTTTTGATCTGCAGTTGTGGAGCCTGCAGATATGGAGGGCTGAGAGTAATGTATTTTAATAGTAAACTCATTTTTCTTAAAATGTAATTTTCAAAATGTACAGAAAGTTTTCCAGCAATGTTCCCAAATCCAAATTCACTCATTATTAAAATTGTTTGTTTTTTTTACACAGGGTGTGATAGGTATACAGCTGGTTGTTACCATGGTGATGGCCAGTGTCATGCAGAAGATTATACCTCACTATTCTCTTGCTCGATGGCTACTCTGTAATGGCAGGTAAGGCAAGGATAGGCTGATTTCACCTGGCACTTTCAATCTCTAGTTTACCAAACTGATTAACTTCCTAGTTACTGTTTCTAAAAGTATAACAAAGGGAAGTCAGAAGAAAAATCTAGCTTTCTTGTTTCTCTTAAAAAATTATTATTTTTTTTTTCTGTGGAGACAAGACCTTGCTATGTTGCCCACGCTATTCTTCAACTCCTGGCCTCAAGCGATCCTCACACCTCAGCTTCCCAAAGTTCTGGGATTGTCTCGCTCTAGCTTTCTTATTACTCTTAGTTTGAGATATTTTTAGTTTATCTGTTTAGCACAAAGGTAATAGGGTCGTGGACAAGAATTCAGTCCTCTCACTGCTGCCTTTTTTTTTTCTCTGTCTGTGGGCACTGAAAACACCACATATTTTTCTAATTACCTTAAAAAAAATTTGGTCAACAAGGGGGTGAGAAATTGTAAATCCAAGTGCTTAAATATTTTTACCATTGTTCGAAGAAAATATTGAAAGCATATATTCTATTGGTGACTCAGTCCAGAATTTATTATAATATAGATGTTAGGAGGTCTCAGTTTTACTGCAAAGAATTTTAAACTGTTTAATTTAGCAAGGAAGGGGATGAAGTTGTGTTGTGGGATTTTAATTTTGTCTACTACACTGTAAGCTCACAATCCCTACTCCTTCCACAAAGGAGCTAAGTAGACTTGCTGAAACATGTACCTCCCACCCCCCAAAAAATTAGATTTAAAAACTATAGATATAGATACAGTGGGGCAAAATCAAAGAAAGTCTGCACACAGAAAAACATGCCAAAATCCTGTATAATTGTGAAAGGTAAGTGATAAATTTGGTACCGTGACTATTTACTTAAATTATTCATTTCAGTTAAATAACCAAATTTTGTTACTGCTTTGTATGTCCATTTTGTTTTGGTTAGGCCTATTAAAGTTAGAAAAAAATGGATACCTGTCCTAGTAATGATTTTATGTTCTACATGACAAATAACACTTTTCATTCAGGGTCTTCCCATTTACAAAGCTTAAATTTCCTTCACAGAATTTTTTTTCTGTTTTAAATTATTTATATTCTTCTCTATGCTTTCTACTTTTTCCATATTGATGTTTAATATTGAAAAATATTATTCAGACTGCTTTAAAATTTGTTTGGAACAATATGATACACAGGTGTGTGTATGTATAATGAATGTGTGAGAGCAGTTCACAAATGCACATTTTTAGGAGAAAAATGACTAAAGTTTTGGTGAAGTGTAAAATAAGTGAAAATCAATAATCTTTAACTATTTTTTTTTTAACCGTGTAGGCTTAATATGCCTGTGCTATCTTGTTTACTGATTTCACTTATCTAAACCATTTTCGAAGACCAGGAAAAGATAAACATCAGCTGGGCAAATTATCATTAATTTGAAGTAAAAAGGGTCTCAGGAAACTACATAACGTACATTAAGGTAGCTTATTTTCTCCTGAGAATTGTGTGTTTCTAAACTATGTTTATGATGTAATGTCACTTCCATATCTCCTTTGTCTGTAAAGACCTTGACAATTTTGTCCCATTTTAGTGTACGTGCATTTTCATCTTGTTACATATTCTACTTTCCATCTATTTCTATAAAATTTATGCTCACTAGTGAAAACTAAAGCCTGAGAGATCAAAAACCTGATTATCTTTATTAATATTGGAAGATTTATATTTACAATCTTTTTCTGATAAGAATGTTTCATAAGTATACATAGATAATTTGAGGGTAAGCTCAGCCTTTAAAAAGCAACACGAAATTGGTTTTCTTTGTGATCTTGACTTGCTTTTGTAAATAGATTAACTTTTATGTTAATTAATGCTGCCTTTAATGCCATATCAGGGTCTAAGGATATCGAGACAGTCTAGTAATGGTTACTTTTCTGCTACAGGTAGTTTCATTTCCTCTCAATTTTGTTTTTTTTTTTTTTTTAAGATTATTTACCTTTTTTAATGTTAAATCCTGAAATTTTGAGGTCATGTTGTCATTTATCTCAATTGAATAAAATTATTGATTTTATCCTTTTGGCATAATTATTGTTTTATGAGCCTTTTGTAATATATAATGATTCTGTTTTAACAGAAAAAAACCTAAAATTATAAATTGAATTGCCTATGTTAAAATATTACTGATGAGAAATGACAGTTTGCATTTTAAATCATATGATGCAGTTGGGTTGATAAATCTGAGGGCATTCTTTAGGGTCCATAAATGCTTAAAGGAATTAAAGGAATTTAAGGAGAGGATCATGATTTTTTTTTTTTTACAACGATGAATAGTGTAGGATGGCTTCGGAGTGACTATATTGAATAGGCTGGCTTGGGAGTGATTATATTGAATAGAACTATTTAAAAGAACTATTCAAGTAAATAGATGTGTAGATAACAGAGATTAATCATGAGTATGACAGAAGAAATTTGTTTCTGTATATATCATGTTAATATTCATGTATTCCATTGGTATCCTAAATTGTAAATAAATGTTCTTTTTTTTTAGTTATGGCTTCTCTTTTGGTGTCAAATAATCTGTCCCTGTCTCTCATTGACCGGCCAATCGTGGATCAAAAATATTCAGAAAAAAAATACAAATTTAAGTTTAAAAAAACACTATAAAAACTATTTATATAGCATCTACGTTGTATTAGGTATTATAAGAAACCTAGATATTATTTAATGTATAAAGGAGAATATATAGTTTATATGCAAATAAAAACTTTCATTATATAAGGAGTTTTAGCATATTTGGATTTTGGTATCCTGGAAGGGGTGTTGTGGGTATTGGATGGTCCCCCACCTACCCTCAATTTCCCTCAGATACCTGGGGACAGTTGTATGTTGACTTAATGAGTAAGCCATTTTCCTTGATGAAATAAGCAATTATACTTGATGGAATAAGCAACTTTTACTTACAAATTAGCAGTTTGTTGATTTTTAATATTAAAAAATTGACTTATTTTCTAGCTCTTGTTAAATAACACATATTGCTATTAGTATTTTTTTAGACTGTTCTTTTAAACTTTTTTTTTTTAAGAAACTGTGTATAGTCTTTAGTCTGGTTTAACTCCGTTAATATTATCCTTATAATTGTTTAAAACTTCTTTATACTGATACAATTTTTAAATGTTTTGTTTCATTTAGATCTGTTCATTGAGCTAGGGAGATGTGGTGATATGTTGCAACTTCCAAAATCTCAGTGTTATAAAATTAATGAAAGTTTCTCAGTTTCTTCAGACACGAAGCAGGGTCAAATGGGGAATCAGAAAGGGATTGGGCAGCTCTCCAGGTAGGTCCTTCACAAAATGATGACTCAAGGGCTCAGCTATCCTCTGAGCTATCCTTCTTCCCTTATGGCTCCTCTGTTCCCCCTGCTACCTTAGAGTCCCTTGCTAGATTGCTGTGCCAGTTGGTGAGTGAAGACAGAGTAAGCTGTGGATCTTTCAGGATATTCTAAAGTGTCAAACTTAGAAGTAGATACATCATTTTTACCCACATTGCATAGGTTGGGGCCCTGTGACTAGTTCTGGCCAAAGTGCTGGGGAGGCTGGGAAATAATACTTATGATATAAAAAACAAGATTGGTGAGTACCTAGTTGCTTTCTGCCATAGGTGATATTATCTCCATTTTTACAAATGACAAAACAAGTTTTAAATGATTTACTCAGTTTCACACACTGATAAATGAAACTGAAAGTCTGATTCACAGTCTAGTATTTATGTAATTTATGGCTGCTCATCAGTTCCACATCTTGTCCTGGAGCTGTCATACTTGAACAGAGTTTTAAATTTGGTCAGGGAGACAAATACAACTTTTTTACAATCACTGTGACTTTTGTTGGCAGTTTACAGGGTAATTTATCTAAATTATTTTCCTTTTCTATTTTGTTTTTCGAGCCATACTTTGTCTTTTAGAATATATCCTTCAGGTTATAAGTAGTATGCACTTCACTTGCTGTATTCTTATGGATTCTTCACGACAACATAATCAGCTTTAATTTAAAGTAAATTAAAAAGCACATCAGCATTTGATTACCAAAAGCATGCTAAGTATTAAGTAGAGTTTAAGAACCTAATGCCCTCACACTATCTCTTTCTCTTTCCTTCCTAAAAGGGAATAAAAATCCTAAGAAGTTGCTTCTCTGTTGTGAACTGCTTTCCCTCATATAAGGAACACTTGTTCTAACAGTTGGTCATATCAGTTAAAGACGTTCTTATCATGTCCCACATACCACTGATTTGTAGCCAGAGTATTCACTACTTTGTATTGTAATAAAAGTTCCTTTTTGTTTTGAAGTTTGCTTGGCCCCTCTTTTCTTGGAGAGGTAAGTGTTAGGTTATATTCTTTGTACATTTGAATAGTGGGTTTTGCATGAGGAGTAGGATACTGCTTTTTCTCTGTGATAGCTTCCTTGCTGAACCTGCTTTCTGTTTTTTCTAATTGCTTAGTTCAAACCTCATGCATTTTTCTCTACCCCTTTATCTTCCTAAAACTACTTTGGTCTGCTGTTTCCCTTCATATGTCCCTCACTGAAGATATATTATGGTCAGATTTATTCTGATTTTTGTCTCATCCCATATCGATTAAAGAGGGTGTTACATCACCTTCATATTCAATTGCTCAATTGCTCTAATTCTTTGTGCCTGTTCTTTATTGCATGTTGCCTGATCCAGTAATCTGCAAGTTCCCTCTGGTGAGAGAAACCTACTATTCAAATGCACAGTAGGTGGGACCTATGACCTAAGGGAAAGGTTTAAACCTTCAGCTAACACCCTTATGGAATGCCTGAGTCCTTGCTCTCCTCGCCTTAGCTTTTCCAACTTCCAGTTCCAGAATGTTCATGATATTCTATCAAAATTTCCAACAAGTGTATATAATGTGTATAACAAATAGTATTTTAGCTACTTATGCTGAAAGATTGTCTAGGTTTTAAGTGGTATTTGTTTTCGCTTAAGCCTCCCCGCCACTGGTCAAAATTATAGAGATTTAGAATGGAGACTAAAACTGTCATTAGTGACTGTTTTAGTAGGTTAGGGCTGCTATTACAAAGTACCATAGACTGGGTGGCTTATCAACAGCAGAAATGTATTTCTCAGTTCTGGAGGCTGGAAGTCTGAGGTCAGCATGCTAGTATGGTCAGGTTCTGGTAAGGACCCTGTCTCAGGTTGCAGACTGCTTCTTCTATCATCACCTGGTGGAAAGAGAATAAGCTAGTTCTCTGACCTCCTTTTAAAAGGGCAGTAATCCTATTAATGAGGACTCCACTCTCATGAACTAGTAACTCCTGAAAGTTCCCACCTCCAAATATCAAATTGAGTGTTAGATTTCAACACAAAAATTTGGGGGGGTGGGGACCATAAACATTCAGCAGTGACCTATGTTATATATCATGAAATAGAGTTTTATATGATTATGTATTAAAGCTTATTTAGCTTGCGCTGTTAAAACTATGCTTTTCTGTGTTTGCTCACATTTAGGTTTCTATTTTAAATTTCTAAAAGTTTTATTTTTTCAAATTTCTAAAACACTATAAATGCTACTTAAATTTTAAAAATAAAGTCTAGGTCAGGACATTATTTTCTGCTACATATTTTTTCAGTGGTGTTGAACTGTTTTAGTATGAGTTGTAGTCTGATAATATTTTACATTAGAGGTTTATGTAAGAATGATCATTGAAAAATTTTTTTAATTATTTAGTAGAGTACAATATCAGATTGGCTTTATTATCAGAGTCACTGCAGATAATCTGAGCATAAGTGAAAAAAGCCACCAAGTAGCCAAGGTAAAAGCTATGTACTGAAAAGTTGTATATTTAACTTAAATATGAGAGACTTATTTATTTTAGAGACAGGATCTTGCAGTGTTGCCCAGGCTGGTTTCAGATCCTAGGCTCAAGCAAACCTCCTGCCTTAGCCTCCCAAAGTGCTGGGATTACAGGTGTGAGCCACCACACCCAACTGAGTTTTTAAGTGAGATTCTGTTAATACTTACTCTCTATTTTCTAAGAAATATATATTTTTCCCGTTTCAAAAACAGTACATATCTATAATGTGGAAAAATATAGTAAATTGATAAGTAAAATTAAAAGGCAATGAACTATATTCCCATCATTCAAAGACAGTCACTTTGTAAATTTTTTTGTATTTCTAATTGTTTCTGTTCATATTTTCCCCTCATGCTTGTGATATATTTTATGTCTAATTTTACATCATGTTCTTTGCTTAACATATTATCATAAAGCATTTTTCTCTAATTGTATTTTTGTGACCATTGACTTGCTGCATTCTAATGACTTTTATATCTGTATCTGTTTTCCAAGCCCATATTAGAAAGGCACGCATAGTGCAGCAGTTGCAAGCAGGCAGTCATTTTACTGAGATAGACATACCACCTAATAGCAAAGGAAAAGACTGGAAATTGAGACCAGAATACAAAGTGTAGTAGCTGGGAACCATAGCATATGGAATCAAACTGTATATGCAGCACTGACTGCTAAAGAAAATTGTGAAACTGTACTTCTGGATTTTACTTGGAATCTATGATCACAGACCTTAGATGGCTGCTTTATACTGCCTGACAGAGTTTGTATGCTGTACTTCTCAGACAACGTTTTCAACCTAAATCCTTTCTCTCGAAAACTTAAGCATCCCTACCTCAGCCTCACCCTAAGCTCTTGAAACCAGAGCCCATCACTCTCATCTGTATACTACCAAACCACAACTCTGGTTGAATGTGCAGCCCGTCTTCTTTATCTTTAAATTTGTAAAATATATTTTATCACCTGCTCCATTTCAGTTGGATTATTCCTGTTACCACACACACTTTTTTTTTAAAAAAGTTCTCCCATTTAAAGTAACAACAACAAATAAAGAAGTCACAGCTCTACCTCTCTCCTCCTTAAAAAACGAAGCCCCTCCATATCCATTTCTTGGTTTTTGGCCATTGCTTTATTTCCCTTTGTAGCCAAATTTGTTCATATGTTGTCTACATAAACTTGACTTTTTCACTTTCTCAGTAACTAGTGTTACACTATCTTTTAGTTCCTTTTTAGTTGGTTTTATTAATCCCTATGGATTTAGATATCACAATTATATTATCACCTCAAATTATCTCTGAACTACAGATTCTAATATGCAGTTGCCCTCTTGTCATTTTTACTTGATGTCTCATGGGTACTTAAAACTCAGCATTTTTAAGTTCGTGATTTCTTCCTGATCTCTTCCATATCAGAAAATGTACCATCATCTTCAAATCAGAAATGTAGATATTATCCTTTATTACTTACTTTTGTTCACTCTCTACCTTTAGTCCATCAGCAAGACCTGTTGATTCACTGCCCTTGTCTCCTTCTAATTAACAGAACAATGAAAGGGATCTTAAAATGTGAATCGAATTATTTATCTACATTGCTTTGAGACCATTATTTAGCGTAAAATCTAAAGTCCATACTATGACCTATTAGCCTTTGCATGATCTGTTCCCATCTTACCTCTTCAGCCCCCTCTTATGTTTCTCCTTGAAGCTCTTGCCTCATTGGCTTTTAGTTACTGCAGTGTCTTATGTTCTTTCATGTCTCTGTGCTTTTGGACTTGGTGTTCTCTGCCTGGAATGCTCTTCCTCTGTTTTCTCATTCTTAAGGTTGCTGGTTAAATGTCTCAGAGAAGTTTGTCCTCACCTAATATCTAAGGCTGTCTCTCACATTTTCACCACTTGTTTCATTCTTTCATGTGGGATTAAAATTTATTTTTCACTATTTAATTGATTAAATTTTACCCCCCAACTGGAATATAACCATCAAAAAGGCAAGGGCTTTGGCTTTAATTGGTTGTGATTATATCTCCTCTGCCTAGCAGAGTATCTGAATACAGAAAATTCTCCCTAAGTGACTGACAAATGAATGAATGGGTAGGTGAGTTACAGACTAGAAGTGACCCTAAAAGTATCACGCATCCTTAGATTCCAACTTTGAACAATAATTCTCACTAATAACGATAACCCTGAGTTATCCCATAGGAAATGTAATAAATCTAAGCCATTTTAGAGAAATGAGTTTACAAAATAAGATTTAACAAGCATGAGTATATTTAAAAAGAAAATGTGTCTTAAGGCTGGGCGCGGTGGCTCACACCTGTAATCCCAGCACTTTGGGAGGCCAAGGCGGGCAGATCACGAGGTCAGGAGATTGAGACCATTCTGGCTAATATGGTGAAACCCCATCTCTACTAAAAATACAAAACATTAGCCGGGCGTGGTGGTGGGTGCCTGTAGTCCCAGCCACTCGGGAGGCTGAGGCAGGAGAATGGCATGAACCTGGAAGGCAGAGCTTGCAGTGAGCCGAGATCGCGCCACTGTACTCCAGCATGGGCAACAGAGCGAGACTCTGTCTCAAAAAAAAAAAAAGGTAGAGAATGTGTCTTAAAATATTTCATTACTATAGGGCTCTAAATAAAACCTAATTTTTCCTATGCTGAGAGTTCTTTCACTAATTACTATTTCTCAGAGCTGAACAACTGATTTTAATCTTTATACATGAGTTATTCTGGATCATGTTCTTTTATATGAGTTATTTCTTATAAGTGTTCTTCTCAATGTTATGCACTCATCCTCATTATTTGGGGATTTTGTTTTGGGATTTGCCTACTTGCTAAAATGTATTTGTAATTCCAAAATCAGTGTTTTTGTGGTCATTCATGGACATAGACGGTGATGAAAAATTTGAGTGGTCTGTACGTGCATGCTCCTGCTTGAGGTCTAACAAGGCAACAGTCTGCCTTATTGTTTTGGCTGTCATACTGTAAACAAATCTCTTTTTTATGATCTGTTTAGGGCCACATTTTTTTTACAATTTTGCTTTTCATTGGTGATCTTGCTGTTTAAAATGACCCCCAAGCATAGTGCTGGTGGTAGTGTCTAGTACTCCTAAGCACAAGAAGGCTGCCTTATGGAAAAAAATTGCTGGAATGACGCACAGAACTCAAAACAAATGCTATACTTAATGATTACTAGTATTAGATAAGCTTTGTTCAGGGATGAATTATGCTTTTGGCTGTGAATTCAATGTTAGCGAATCAATGATATATATTAAATAAGATATATTTAAACAGAAACACACATAAAACAAGCTTGGGTATTGATCAGTTTATGAAAATGTTATGACCGGAAGCTCACAGGAACCTAACCCTGTATTTGCCCTAGGAGCAATGGTTCAGTGTTTGTGGCAACTTTATAAAACATAACTACCACGAATAATGAGAATCAATTCTGTAAGTTAAAATTCTGGACTTCAGTATAAATTCAGGAAGTGCCTCCTTACCTGTTTATTGTAATTTAGGGACTTTTAGATTGGGATATATATATTTTTTATCTTAAATTCATTAAGCAAAGAACTGAATTCATTTTGGTTCAGTTATCCTTTTTGAGCACTTACTATATGCCAATAACTACTAGCTTTGAAGTATACAAAAAGCAAGAAAGCCATAAAATCTTTTATCCAAGAATCTTTCACTTAGGGTAACATTCCATTTTAATTTTAATCCAACTTATCTGAAACCACCTGGATATGCTACGCTTGTATTCTGACAGTAATTACCTGGAGTTAGTACAAATCCCACAGGTTAAAGGCCAAGTTCTCCATAAGACTGCCCCTACTTCAGATACCAGCCTCAAGTTTTCAGGGTACCCAGGCCACCTGCACTTCTGACTTATTAATAGGTTACAAATCTGAGGATTCCCATGATCCCCTCAGGTCCAGTAATCTGCTAGAATGATTCATAGAACTTAGGAAACTGCTTTATCTATTATTACAGCTTTATTTAAAGGAAGCACATAGGGTTAGGTCTGGGAAAGAGCAGAGTTTCCATGCCCTTTCTTTCCCTCTGGAGTCTGAGGATGTCACCCTCTGGGCATATCAATGTGTTAACCAACAGGAAGTTCCTCTGAGCTTTGATGTCCAGAGTTTTTTTGAGTTTCATTATATAGGTACAATTTTAAGTCATTGATACAGAATTGATTTCAATGATCCAACTCAATTTCCAGGACCCATCCCTGGAGGTCAAGTTCCTGAAAGTCCTGACCCTCTAATCTTGTGCTTGGTGTTTCTGATAATCAGCTCCATCCTGCAGCTATCTGGGGCCCGCCTTGACCTACCTCATTAGCATAACAGAGATACTTCTACCACTCTTGTGTTTATAAGGACTTTTAAAACTCTGTGTCAAGAACTGGGGACAAAGAGCAGATGTATTTTTTTTATTATACCACAAGAAGACTGCTTGTAAACACTAAGAGATAAATTAAGAGTTTGCCAAGTAGGGAAATAGGTGTTTACAAGGAGAGAAGAGTATATGCAGAAAGCACCAAGGGATGAAAGAATTTGTGAGGAAGAAAGTGTCACTTCGTCAAGCCAGAAAGTGTCACCTTCAAATGAAAATGGTTGAAGGTGAACCTGGAAAAGTAGGCATCGGTCAGATCATGAAAGGCTGTAGAAGCAAGAGATAATGCATGACTCCCATGCAGATGTGGGCCTTGTAATATATGTTTTAATGGAAAATTTCAAGTATGCAAGGAGTAGATACAATGATGAATTCCTGTGTACTCATCACAGTTAATAGCTGGTGGCTAAACTTGTTTCATCTGTACTTACCCCACTTTACATTTCAGTGTATGTATCAAAAATAATGAGTTTTTTAAAATTACCACAATCTCATTATCGTACCTAAACTTTTTTAATAATAATTTTTTAATATCATCAAATATTCAGTCAGTACTCAGATTGCCAATTCTACAGTTGTTGGGTTTTTTGTGTGTTTTTTTGTTTTTGTTTTTGTTTGAGATATAGGGTCTTACTTTGTTGCCCAGAGTGGAGAGCGGGGGCACAATGATGGCTCATTGCAGCCTTGACGTCTCAGGCTCAAGCAGTCCTCCTACCTCATCCTCTCCCCCGACCACAGGTGCATGCCACCAGGCCTGGCTAATTTTTTAATGTTTTATAGAAGTAGGGTCTCACTGTGTTGCCCAGGTTGGTCTCAAACTCCTGGCTTCAGACAATCCTGCAGCCTTCTAAAGTTCTGGAATTACCAGTATGAGCCACCATGCCTGGCCTGCAGTGTTCTTAAAACAGCAAATCAAAGAGACCGTGTGCCATGACTAATGTTTGTAATCCCAGCATTTTGGAAAGCTGAGGAGGGAGGATCCTTTGAAGCAAGGAGTTTGCAACTCCTCTGGGCAACCAAGTGAGTCCCTATCTCTATTTGGGGGGGGTGGGTAACAGCAATTGGGAAATTTCAAATTTAAAAATTCTAGATTTTTGTAATTGAAGAATTGGGGGGGGTCTAGCATACTAGATGGATTTCTTCCTGTATAATAGGGCCTTTGTCAAAGTTTTTGCCTAGCTGCCTTATTCATTGCTTTTCTCTGTGAGGAGCCTTGGAAGTGATTTAAACAGACATGGGTCTTGATAAGATTTGTATTATGGAAAATAAGTAAAGGTGGTCCACCTTTCTATAAGGTGAAAAAACAAGAAAACAATAACTAGAGGTAAGCTCAGATGGATTTGATGAGTAATGTGTCCACAGGAAGGCAGGGAGGATACCAGTGAGAGAATTTTGCAGTAGTCAGATGTTCAGAGGAAGATACACTGAAGTAAGGTCTCTGCAGTAGGGCAGAGTTTAGAATTTTAAGAGATGAGGAACAGAATTAATAATAACATGTGGAGAGAGCACATTGAAAATAAGATATAAATATCAAATTTAAGTGATTGGTAGATAGTTGGTACGACTAGGCAAGCCATGAAATTCAGGATGAGCCACTTGGTGCTTGGGAGGGAATAACTGTTTAGTTTGGATCTTGAGTATTCACTTCAGATTAAAGTATTTTGACTGTGGTAGAGAGGAATACAACCAGTTGTTGGATCCTTACCTGAGGAAGGTTAGATATAGCTAAAAGTAAAGTGTTTTGTAATACAATGATTTTCTCTAATTATTCTACACGTAAAGTTTGAGAATTCTCGAACTAAATTAAAAAAGCAAAAGAAAGGAAAGACTACCTGTAAACATGAGAGTTCATTCAAACAACTCTCTTTTTAAGATAATTCTCAGTTCCTTCAAATGAGGGATTAGTAGAGAATTAATGTGCTCCTGCCCACTTGGCTACAGACTTCACTTCATTTACTTTTAATAATAAGCTTGTATAATCTTAATATGTATTAATACATTGTCATTTGTAAGAAATATAAATACAAATGGCATTGCTGGACCTGGCATCTAGTAAGTGGTTGGTAAGTGTCTGCTGGATGTTTATCTAAACCCTTTTAAAGTTTAAGAGGTAGTATTTGTTTCAGATTACAGTTTTCACCTGATATTTCTCGACAGTGTCTTCACAAATATGAAACTTAATAAATATAGGATAAAGAATAATTCTGGTGATTTTAAGCGCTTTATTTAAAAGGATTCTTTTTTTGCTTAGTTTGAGGTGGTATCAACATCCTACAGAAGAAGAATTAAGAATTCTTGCAGGGAAACAGCAAAAAGGGAAAAGCAAAAAAGATAGGTAAGTTATACTGAGCTTGTAAAGTGTTAAATATTTAACACAATTTATATAAATATATTTTATGCTTTGAGTAAAGAAACATACCACTTATGTTGTAAGTAGTTGATAAATTTGAGATCAAAACCCATGAAAATCTAATCTGTAGTAATATATACACACAAAATAGTGATTGTTTTACTCAAGAATGGTTAACTTTATTCTTTGTTTAAATCATGAAAACAATGTAGCCATCATACTAAAGAAAATGTAGTTGGGGTTGATTGGGGAGAGACTTATAACCCGTATCTTTATCCTACAATTCATCAAAGATGTCAGTTGGTTTGGGTTATTTTCCAGTTTTTGCTGCTACTGTGTATTATGACATTGGGGAAATTAACCTGCTCTTGGCCTCAGTTTCCTCATTTTAAAATTAAAAGGAATGGACAATATAACTATGTAGGTGCCATCAGCTCTTGAATGTTCTTTTCATGTTTAAAGTTTATGAAGAGAACTGCCTACTAATAAACCTCACAGAACAGACCATAGTAGCCTCATCTGTGAGATGGAAAGAGTAAACAAAACAATGTTTTGAATAATCCTTCCAACTTTAACATTTTATATCTCTATTTAAATAGAATTCTTAGGGAGAGTGCATATTAATTACCTCTCTGAATGGACCGTAGTTTTCTCAACTGGGGATCCAAGAGGACGTCTTAGGTCCCCTGTGACTCTGAAATCATGATTGATTGACAACAAATTATAACCATGTTTCTCATGTATATCATAAAAATGCTAACCTAGCCTAATACATTTATAGAAGCTAAAAAATAATTAAACATTAATGATTATTTGGCATGAAATTGGAAATTTGAAAAGACTGTCTTTTTTAATCTTACTACCATCCTTTTTCACTTATCATTACAAATATACCTGGAAGCTCATTGGAATATTAATAGTAAACCTTCCTTCTTTTTAGTCCAGTAGTTAAGTTCTTTAATAAAATAGTCCTTCCTAACATTATAGTTTCCAGAGCACTTTTATACACAGTTCTACTTAATCCACAAAAAAAACCAAGAGTGTTAGCTAATAATTTAATTTACTCTTTATTAATGAGAAGCTATTGATCAGAGATATTAAATGAGTTGCCCAAGTTCACATAACTAGTAAGATTATGTACTGGTAACCAGGATTTGAATCCAGGTTAGTTTTTAGTTTCTGTTTCTTTTTAACTATTCCACTTCCACCTATTTATAGCTACCATGTTCAACATTTATAAAATTTAGTTATGTAGAAAGAGTCTCACTCTGTCAGTCAGACCAAAGTGCAGTGGCAGAATTCTGGCTCATCGTGGCTTCAACCTCCTAGGCTCAAATGATCTTCCCACCTCAGCCTCCCAAGTAGCTGGGACCAGATGCATGCAACACCATGCCCAGCTAGTTTTTTTAAAAAAAATTTGTAGACACAGGGTCTCCTAGTGTTACCCAGGCTGGTCTCCCTGAGATTAAGCAGTCCTCCCGCCTCGATCTTCCTGGCCTCTCAAAGTGTTGAATTACAGGTGTGAGCCACTGCACCTGGCCTGAATCCTTATTATAATGCCTTGTAATGAATAATTATGTTCTAGAGTAATTTTTAATAGGTTGAACATGCCTTATAGTTACAAAAAGATACATTAACGTTGCTGTCTTATTCCTAGTAACAAGAATTATTTTTTGGTTTATTGACATGAAATTATTTTTTCCTGAGGCTTCCCAGTTTTTTATTCAAGGATAAATGCAAAGTTGTTTTTCAGTATTGAGATTAATAGTATTAAAACTTAGTTGAAGCTGGCCATGGGGGTGTGTACCTGTAGTCCCAGCTACTCAGAGACTGAAGCAGGAAAATTGTTTGAGCCCAGGAATTTTGAGTCCAGCCTGGGCAACTGTGTGTCTAAAGAAATACATAAAATAATAAATTGAAACCTTAGTTTATTACTTTCTATATGTTTGTCTTTAAAAATTAAATTTGGAAATCATACAGATACACCAGAAGAATTTGTTTTCCTTCATTTGTGATTTTTAGTAAAAACTATTGCAAGTTAGTCTTTCATGTTTCTGAATTTCTCATACACATAAATCTTAATATAATTCTTCAACTCTGATTTGCATATGGTTCCGGGTCTGTTTATATGTATGTACGTGTGTGTGTTTATACACGTCACTTCAAGGAGAAGTGCACTTTGTCTTCATTTGCATTTACTCTTGTGCTTAAAGAAAAAAGAGAGTAGGAGAAATGGGTGTGAAATGCTAAGCTAGAAAAAAAGGTTTTGTTGCAGTAACTAATTTAGGTAATTATTTCCCTGGTAATCTGTATATTCACATAATAATTTACATTCAAATTTTATAGTACTCTTTTTAAAACTACCTTTGAGTACCTTACATCCTTATTGATGAAATATTAGGAATTCTGCCTTTACACTGTGAAATTTAAAACTTCATTTGTAATTAGTTTGAAACAAGCACTTGGATAACAGTGTAGGTAACTTGTTTTTTGTGTCACTTGTCTGATTTTTATAGGAAATATAATGGTCACATTGAAAGTAAGCCATTAACCATTCCAAAGGATATTGACCTTCATCTAGAAACAAAATCAGTTACAGAAGTGGATACTTTAGGTAAGGGAAATCTTGGTAAAATGTTCTATGAATCTCAGTTTTATATTATGGCAGTGAAAGTACTTTCATTTTAATCATTAAGTCCATTATACAGAATAAGGAATCTTTCTAAGAACTTAGATGCTCAAATGACTTCATTTGAATTGAATTTCTTTTTTTGTTCACCTAACTTGTATTATTTTTCCTATTTTCGGAAGAGGCTAACTTACACAAGTTTATTATGCAGTTTCTGTTTATTAGATTGAGATCACAGTCAATTTTTATTATCTAGAATTCTAGACTTCCTTTTACTCTTTGTTTCAGCCTGCCCTTTTCTAATGTGGCTTGCAAAACTGCATTTGAAATGTCTGGCCATGAGCAGCCCAGGGGTTGGGGTGCCTACTTTTATGCAGTTGAAAAATCGAATACAACTTTTTACTGCTCATGAACCTAATTACTAACAGCCTACTCCTGACCAGAATATTTACCAATAACATAAAAAATCAACACTTTTTTTGTGTTATATGTATTATATACTGTATTATAACAATAAAGTAAGCTAGAGAAAAGAAAATGTTATTAAGAAAATCATAAGGGAGAAAAAATATATTTCCTCTTAAGTGGAAGTGGATCATCATAAAAGTCTTCATCACTGTGATATTCACTTTCAGTAGGCCGAGGAGGAGAAGGAAGAGGAGGGGTTGGTCTTGCTGGTCAGAGGTGGCAGAGGTGGAAGAGAATCTGCATATAAGTAGATGTGCACAGTTCAAACTGTATTGTTCAAGGGTCAACTGTATTTCTATTGATTTACCCATATTTAGAGTAATTCAATTTTATTCTCACATATATTAGAAAGGAAAATGGTTTTAGAATAATGAACTGAATTAGAAATCAGAAAAATTTACTTATCCAGGATTTACTTTCATCCATTTGTTATTTCCAAATAGGTCATTTAGTTTTCCTCCTATAAATTATAGAACTGTAGTGTCTCAATTATTGTAATTATATAATGACTGCGATGATTCTAGTTTAAAATGATATTAATATGAAATTATTTGAATCTTAGAAGGAAGAGGCATCTAAGGTGATATAATTTAAAACACTGGTTTTTAAACTTTGGGATATATCAAAATCACTTGATGAGTTCTTTGAAATGGATTCTCTACTCCCATCCTTGAAGATTCAGTAAATGTAGAGTAGGTTTTGGGAATTTACATTTTTAAAAGTGCTCCAAGTGATTTTGATTTTTGACTAGGTTTGAGAACCACTGGTTTATGTGATAAATGAAATGATGCGTGTTTTTTAAAAATAATTCTGATAATGTCAAATAAGGTGTCATTATGTAATTTGACCCTTCTTGGGTTAAATCATACCACCATCAAAAAATCTTAAGAGGTCTAGCATCTCAAATAGTATTATTTTATGATACAAGGTGGCTTCAAAATATGTGAAGGTTTATTATTACATCTGTAAAGGTTGTATGTGTATGTAAAGCATGTCCTAGAACTAAAAAATATCAGTGAAGAGCAATATAAATCACTTGTCTAATATCATTTAGACTCTTTTTTTTTTTTTTTTTGAGACGGATTGCTCTGTCACCCAGGCTGGAGTGCAGTGGTGTGATCTCGGCTCACTGCAAGCTGCACCTCCCAGGTTTATGCCATTCTCCTGCCTCAGCCTCCCGAGTAGCTGGGACTACAGGTGCCCGCCACCACGCCCAGCTAATTTTTTTGTATTTTTTAGTGGAGACGGGGTTTCACCATGTTAGCCAGGATGGTCTCAATCTCCTGACCTCGTGATCTGCCCACCTCAGCCTCTCAAAGTGCTAGGATTACAGGCGTGAGCCACCGCGCCGGACCCATTTAGACTTTTAAGACTGGTTATGTCTTCCTCTTTTTTCTTTTTAACTATTTTACATTCAACATTTAAAACATTTAAAGGCACTTTGACTTTTTGATTAGTAGTTGTCACATATGTTTCACTACTCCTAAATGTGCTTACTTGTATAAAATGTTCATAGATACGTATAAGTACAATAATATATAAACGTTCTTCCTGATTTTTAGTAGTTTTGACATTTTTACAAATAATGTTTATTGAATAATTTGTCAGCTAGCTTTAATAAGATCTTAAAATTGTTGAGTATCAGGCATTGTTACAATATTTTACTTGTATTACCCCATCCTCACAATTCTGAAGTAGGTAACTGTTATCAGTTTTTGTTTTTGTTTTTTTAATTCATTAGGAAGAAGAGTTAAATAACTTGGACAGGGTTACACACTAAATGTGGTACAGCCACTCAATGAGAACTAGGCTATTTTAATGAACTTAAAAAAAAAAAAAAAAAAAGAATTTAGGGTATTGTAGCTTTAGCATGTAGTTTATGGAGTATTTGGTTTCACTTTTAGGATTTTTAGAACTAGTCGCAAATGATACTCGTTTATCAACTGGTTATGTAATATCAAGAGCATTTCCAGTTAACCAGAATAGCAGGGAGATGTTCATATATGTTTGTAAGTTTTCTTAGTCATTTGTGAATGCATGTTGTATATGTGTGTTTAGGTGAAAGTACAGGGTTTTCTGTCTTCTTTTGACTTCAATATTTTATTAAAAGGCATATATATAATTGTATTATTGATTACACAAAGAATGTAACATGAGTTAAATAGCCAAGAATATATATAATTTGTACTTTCATGGAATGTATATATTATTGATGTCCCAATAATTATCATAAAAGTCTATCTTAATTTGTATTAACTATGTATTATAAGAACCTCTTAAAGAACATTAGAACTTTTGAATGTCACTTCACTGTTTGCTATGAGTGAGTTCCATGGAGGAAGTCCCTATGAGTATGGGTAGGTTTGAAGAATTAGAATGCTTACTTAAATTATTGATAATAAAACTGAAAACTTTAAATGGATTTTGGTCTGTCCTTTCCATCCACTTCCCGACCTCCTTCCAGATAGAAATCTCAGTATGGGTGATTTTTTTTTTTTTCTTAGCAGGAGGAAGGGATTGAGGGTAAGCATCCTGTAACTGCATCAGAATCTTTCAGGCTTATGTTCAGAAGCTGTAGGTAAATCTCAATAGAAGACCTAAAGCAGGGCTGTGGTTCATGCCTGTAATCCCACCTCTTTTGGAGGCCGAGGTGGGAGGATGGCTTGAGCCCAAGAGTTTGAGAACAGCCTGGGCAATATAGTGAAACCATATCTGTACAAAAAATTTAAAAATTCGCCAAGTTTGATGGTGTGCATCTGTAGTCTCAGCTACTAGGAAAGCTGAGGTGGGAAGATTGTTTGAGCCCCAGAAGCTGAAGCTTCAGTGAGCTATGATCACACCGCTGCACTCTCAGAAAACCTAAAGTAGTTAACCTAAAAGTTAAAGTACATTGAAGTAGATTAAGAGTGTTACAATAACTTGATGCAAATTTAAAAATCATAAAAGGATTTTGGATTATCAAAATTTTATGTTCATCTTATAGAAATGGTATAAAATTTGGTTAGTTTTGATACTACTTTTAATAGGTCTTACTGTATGTGATATTTTCAAAATACTTTTTCTATAAGAATGTTGTATTTTCAAGTGTAATTGTATTATATTTTATCACTAAAAACTGTCCAAAGCAATGCAGATCATTTTATTATGTGCCATAAGAACATCTGAATTGATGGTTATGTACGTGATTTACTTCCACATTTTTAGGAGGCCTTCTAAAAAATGATGTTGATGTTTTGGACTACACTCTGGTAGAAGTAAACCAGAATACCTATGCCAACTGAGATGCAAAGGGTGATGGAATTATATTTACTTTCAAAGAATGTTAATTTCAATGTAAACTCTTAAGAATGGAATAGTTTGTTGAAAGGGTATGGTTTTATGGAAAATTAACAGACATTTTATAAACTTTTCTTGCAGAACAAAATAGGGTATAAGAGTTATATTTAGTTCATTATTTTTCTTGAGACAGAGTCTTGCTCTGTCATTCAGGTTGGAGTGCCGTGGCGTGAACTCAGCTCACTGCAACCTCCGCCTCCCAGGTTCAAGCTCTTCTACCTCGGCCTCCCAAGTAGCTGGGACTACAGGTGCCTGCCACAACACCCAGCTAATTTTTGTATTTTTGGTAAAAACGGGGCTTTGCCGTGTTGGCCAGGCTAGTTTCGAACTCCTGACCTCAGGTGATCCGCCTGCGTTGGCCTCCCAAAGTGCTGGGATTACCAGCGTGAGCCACCGCGTCCGGCCTTATTATTTTAATCTGTAGTATTTCATAGAATTACTAGTTTACAATTAGTACAGCCAATAATTGTAACATAAAGTTTAACTCTTACTTCACAGAAGTGAACAGTATAACTAAATTGTTGTGTTCCAGACTAAGTTGTTTTCTGAAGTGAAGGTATTTAAAATAAAACACTTATAATTTCTGTAAAAAATAGCTAATCAGTTAATACCAATAAATTTGCAATCATACTTTACCAACAACTTAAATAACTTTGGTAATCTTTTAAGGTTTATTTTAATTTGTGAGGTATTAAAATTTAGTTTTGGATGCTAACATCCTCATTCTATTTCCTGCATTTTTAGATTCATATATTTGTAAATCTTACATTGCAAATGAACAAATAAAGTCTAGCATATTTTAATTATAAATAAGTCCTCATAAGTTATTTATGAAAATTTAAGTGAAACTTTTTTTTTTCCCCCCAGCATTGCATTACTTTCCAGAATACCAGTGGCTGGTGGATTTCACAGTGGCTGCTACAGTTGTGTATCTAGTAACTGAAGTCTACTACAATTTTATGAAACCTACACAGGAAATGAATATCAGCTTAGTCTGGTGCCTGCTTGTTTTGTCTTTTGCAATGTATCCTTCAAAACATCATTAATATTAATTTATTTTGCAGATAACACCATTAGGTCTCATCTCTGATTTGAGAAAGATTTTATGTTATTAGATAACTTTTCTTTATTGAAATCTTTTTTATGTAATTGAAAACATTTTCAAAGTAATAGAGTTAAATAATTTAAAAAGCTAAATGTAAGAAAAATGCCAGTGCCCTGCTTTTCCTTTTTATCCAAGTCTAATGTCACAGAGACAGCCACGTTCACCCCTTTTAGGCATTTATTTTAGGAATTCCTTCCTTGTGTTTAAATATTATGTGATAATGGTACTATTTATATATTACTGCACCTTTCTCCCTCTTCTCTTTTCTTCCCTTCTTTCATTCTCCCAAAATAGTTAGAGATAACATTTTATTAAATTTATAGTCAGTTTTACCATGTTATGCCTATGAAAATATTATTTACAGCTGGACATTATAGTGTATTATTACTACTATAAATAATTTTTTATTTTTGTAATTGTGGAAACTATAAACTCTTCCACAGAATTGATAGAACCTCAGTAGTTCAGATACTTCATTTCTGTTTTTTTTTTTTTTCTCATAGAAATATCCTCCTGGAGCCCTCAGTTTTCTAAACTTCAGTATAACTAATATCCTGTGACTTTCTTTACTGTCTTCCAAAAATTCCCTCTACCCCTTTCTGGATCTCATGATTTCCTCTTCCTTGGTTTATTCTTTTTTTTTTTTTTTTTTTTTTGCAGAGCACATTCTCCTATGGTGTCCTTAGAAAGGGTGCTAAATTTTTATTTTTAAATCTTGCTTTCCTGGAATTATCTTTATTTTTCCCCTCATACTTGATTGATAGATTGGCTCAGTAGAAAATTCTAAGAAAGAAATAGGTTTGCTTGAGAATCTTGAAGTCTCTTGAGAAATTGGATGTCCTTTTGTTTTTCATATATACCTATCCTTCCCCTAGTACATACACCCTCTGGAAGCTTTTTCTTTTTATTCTTCTGGTTTCTGACGTTTTATCATTGATAGTGCTAAGTTCTAGATTTACCCTTTAAATCTGAAAACTCATGTCTTTTACTACTATTTTTGTTTTCTTATTTTTATTAAAATTAAATATGTTCCCTGCTCTTTTCTTTATTTCCGTCTCTCCAGCGGCAACTTCTTCTAGCTCTTCTCTGTTTGATGCTTACTTTTATATTTCCATGTACTTCCAAGGCTGTTCCTTGATTTTAGTTTTAAGCGTAACTATTGCCATTTCAGTTTGGAAATAAGGATTAAGCACATATCTTTGGGCTGCCAGTTAACCATTGATCATTTTCTATTCATCTTCCACATATAGTAATGTCATGTTTTTAGAACAGTATTCAGTGTTTATGCCGTGATCATGTAAACACCACTCACAGATGAATAGTTAGTTGCCTTAATGTATTCAGAAGTATCAAGTAATATGTCAATTTCATCTTGAATAGAGTTCCTCCTGGAGCCCTCAGATAAGCCCCAGTCTAGATTGGTTGACCTTCCCACCTGATGTGCACCTATTCCCCTGGTATCACTCATTATCATCTTCTTAGAGATTCTCTTTGCATCTCCCTCAAATTGGAGCTCTTTTTAAAGATATTCTATGTCTACCTCCTACTTGGTTTACTTTCTGATTTTGGTGGAGCATATTCTTCAGTATCATCTTCAAAAAGGTTGCATGGGAACTACATTTTTTGTGACCTTGCTGTTTTGAAAATATTTTACATTTTCCCTAAAAATTAATTTTTCCTTTGGCTGAGAATGTAATTCCATGCTGAAAATTATTCCCTTGATAATTTTGAAGGCATTATGTTTTTGTCTTTGAAGTTCCATTCTTACTCTTAAGAACTGAGCTGCCAATCCAATTTCTCATTTATTTTCTTTTTCTTTTGAGACAGGATCTCACTGTGTTGCCTAGGCTGGAGTACAGTGGTGCAATCACATTCTCTGTTTATTTTTTGTAGAGACGGGGTCTCCCCAGCTTGCCCAAGCTGGTGTTAACTCCTGGCCTCAAGGCTTCTCCTGCCTTGGCCTTCCAGAGTGCTGAGATTACAGGTGTGATCTATTGCGCCCAGGAATCTGATTTTTTTATAAGTTCTGTTTTTTTCTTTGTGTTATCATTACCATCTTTTTTTAGCTAGCCACCTGGTGTGCTAAAATTTTATGATGATGTGCCATATTTAGGGTCTGTTTTCATCCCGTGTTGGGACTTTACCAGTCTATGAACTCATGTTCTTGAGTTCTAGAAAATTGTTTTGAATTATTTTATTCGTATCTACAGCCATACCACCCTGGACACACCCAATCTCATCTGAATTATTTTATTGGTGATTTTTCTCTTCTCTATTTTCTCTCTTTCTGGAATGCTTATTATTCAGATATTCGATCTCCTAGACTGGTTTCCCAAGAGTGTTATCCTCTTTCTTGCATGTATATGTTTATGTTTATATTTTTATATTATTTGTTTTTCTGGGACATGTTCTTAACTTTCTTAACTTTTTATTGAGTTTATTATTTTGAATTTCTGCTATAATTTTTAATTTTCACAACCTCTTTTTCTTCTGTTCCACTACCCCTTTGATGGAATTCTGCTCATTTTATGGTTACATTATCTTCCCGTGTCTGTTTAAGATATTAATGATAGATTTTGTTAAGGTTTTTTTCTTTTGTCTGCCTAGTATCTTTTTACTCTGAGTTGCTTTTGTTTGGTTGCTGTCTTTCACGTTGAAGGCTCTTAGAGAGCTCTAGTGACTGATGTTTGCCTGTCCGTAATTAAGTGTGAGACACTAAAAAACTGAATGGAAGCTCTGAGCACATGGTGAGGTAAGTTGCTGAATCATCTGGATAGGCCAGAGATTATCTTTTTACCCTCTTGAAAGCATAAATCTCCATACTTGCTTCAGATGTGGGCAGATTGAACTGGTTACTTTTAAAAAGTACTGATTTCATTAGTACTTATTTTTAATACCTCCTATTATTACCGCCCCCCCTCCCCCTGCCGCTGCCACCACCAACACACACACATTCAGTAACCAGCACTTTCACCCTAGTGTAGAGAATTATTTGTCATCTAACCAATTTCCTTATCCTTTTGTGGAGTTTTGCAGTAAAAAGGCAGATTTCTTCTTGGCTGTCCGATTGAGCTTCTTCATTCTGTTGAGCCTGCTTTCTAGCTTCCACAATTTTTTTGCTTTTTCTCTTACTTTATTCATGTTTCTTAAAACCGGATTCCTTTACCATCATTTTGGTGGGATTTAGGAAGTGACAAAAAGTAACTGATTTGCTTAATCTGTCTTAAAGACTTTTTTTTTTTAGAGACATGGTCTTGCTCTGTTGCCCAGGCTGTAGTGCAGTGGTGTGATCATAGTTCACTGCAGCCTCTAACTCCTGAGCTCAAATGTTTCTCCCACCCCAGCCCTCCGAGTAACTGAGAGTACAGGCACGTGCCATCACAACTGGCTAGGTCTGGGAAGTCTTAATAACTGCAGTACAGACTTTTAATCTTCCTGTTTTATCCATTCATCAACCCTGTGTTTGAAGGTACCTCGTATCTCCAGTACTTTTCCCAGGTTTCTGATGAATGAATTCGCTTTCTTCTTACTGAGTTCCTCCCCTTGCAGATCAAGTATAGCAGAGAAAGCTGAAACCTAATTGCTTTTCTCTATCCACTTAACATCTTCCAAAATTTTGTTGATTTCTTATTTATTTACTTACTTACTAATTTTTGTCTCTTTTTCTATTCTCTATTCTTGAGGTTTTTGACTTTTTTATGTGCCTTGCTGAGTTAGATTGTGACAATGAGCAGAGGAAATGCATGTCTTACGTCTTAATATTCAACCGGAGACTGTAGCACCATCTTTTAAACTTGTTAAGTGGATACCATTTAAAATATGTGACATAATTTGACAGTTCATCACCAGCATACTACCCTTCCGTTGCCTCTTTTGGATTGATTTAGGTATAATTTAGACTAGGAGAGCCAGAAAAAAGTCTTAAGAGTCAATATCCACAAAGTATGTAGTATACTGGGTAGAAATACTAATCACGTGTGTTAGTTGAGAAACATCCTTAGATATCCAGTGTTACAGTAACTCTAAGAGCAGTTTTTAAATTCAAGCTCATAAAATATTCCTGTTTAATTCTGTGGTATTAAATATGTGAAAATAACAATCAGAATAAAGACCTATCCCTAGATATCAAGTCATATAAAACACATGAAAAATATTTTCCCATGATAATTAACACGAGCTGATTATATGTCATGTTACTTTTTTTATACTTCAGTGAGTTCTCATGTTCTCCAAAATACTGCCCTTTCTTTTTTTTCCCCCAGAGACAAGGTCTCACTCTATCGCCCAAGCTGTGGTGCAGTTGCACAGTCCTAACTCACCGTATCCTTGAGCTCCTGGGCTCAAGTAATCCTCCTGCCTCAGCCTCCAGAGTAGCTAGGACTACAGTTGCACCCAGCTAATTTTTGATTTTTATAGAGATGGGATCTCACTATGTTGTCCAGGCTAGTCTTAAACTCCTGGCCTCAAGCCATCCTCCTGCCTCAGCCTCCCAAAACACTGGGATTACAGGTATGAGTCTCTGTTCCCTGCCAGTATTGCTTATTATTGAATATTCTTTTCTTCACTTTCTTCATGGCTAACACCTATGTGGGAACACATATACTTGATTTGCAGTTTTATTTTAATGTGATTGAGCCCTTGATACATCCCTACCAGATAAGTTAGAAAAATATGCTTTTTAATAGCTATTCATATTGTTTATGTGAGTAAATTTTATGTTTCAGTTTACTCTCTAATGCCTAATAATGCGGGAGCAAAGGTCCCACACAGCCTTTAGCACTGGAACTGACTTTGCTTCGTTTTAAGTAATGCATTTGTGAAAGGCATCAAACAGTAACATCTCTGCAGGAATCCTGTAGCTGGCTGTCTCCCTATCCCAGAGAGGACAGAAAGTGCTGAAGAGCTTACAGGCCAAGCTA